ATTGATAGGGCTTTTGGTTAGGACAGGTAGAGGAAAAAGGATATCGTGCTAGGAGGAAACTCTATGGTGAGGGAACCAGACCTCCGGTTGGCTCCAGAATTGAATGGGGAGGGGGTGGTAATTCCCATGTGGCTTGACTCCCAGCTACACAGCTAACCCTTGAAAATAAATAACGATAAAGCTTGAGTTAGCCAAGGTACTTGTCTCGTATTTGGAGCAAGCATCCCTTCAAAACAGAAGGACTAGGGAAGGGTTCTTGTCAGCTTTGGAAGCCATATTGAGACCAGATGCTCCCACACTGCCACATTCTTGAGCCTGGGAAAATGGCAGGGGGGAATTTCTTGGAGCGTACGTGGTTAGGCATAACATTCTTTTTCTAAGTCAAGGTCATGTTATCTCGGCACCTGGGTGAGAGGACGTCTCAAGCTGGAACAGATGGTGATTGGGGCATGTGATGTGATGATGGGTGCAGGGGGTGGATTTGTAATTTTTACTTATTGCAAGGAAGCCTCAGATTTGGGATTTCCCAGATGTACCAGTTCCAAATTAAAACAGAACTTTTGAGAAGATGCCTGTCTTGGGAGTTATTGGTTGGAGTGGAGGTTTTCTGGAATGCTGACAGTTATTTTTAAAAGCTGGAGTTGAGGTCGCCCAATTCTCCGGAATATCAGTACAGCTAGTCCTTGACGTACGACCACAATTGAGCCCAAAATTTATGAGAATTGAAGTGATTTTTTGCCCCATTTTACGACCTTTCCTGCCTCGGTTGTTAAGTGAGTCACCGCCCCTTAACTCAGTAACACGCTTGTTAAGCGAACCTGGCTTCCCCGCTGACTTGGCTTGTCCGAAGGTCATGTGGCCCAGGAAAACAGCAACAGTCATAAATAGGAGTCAGTTGCCAAGCATTCAAATTTTGATCCCATGATCGTGGGCATGCTGCAAAAATTGCGACTGTAAAAAACAGCCATGGGTCATCCTTCTTCCCCCACTCCCCCAAGTAAATTTGAACGGTCACTAAACGAACTTGTAAATCGAGGGTGTCCTTTACAGGTTAAACGTTGCAGTTCTTCACGCAGCCCTGTGATGGCAGAATTGGAACCCCTTCCAATGGTTGCTTATGCTTGGCAGTTCGGTCTGTCCCTAACTCCAGCCTGGTGGCCAAGTTCATGCCCTATTCTCACTCCAGGAAGCATGCCAAACCACGCAGAAAAGTCTCTTCCGTTCTCGAGATATTCTGTCCCGGTTCCAAGAAGAACTCAGCAGTTTTTCCTTAAGTGCTTATTGATCTCCTCCAAGAAAAGAAAATACGCTATAAATATTCCCGCCTTCTGTTCCTTTCAGGGAGGTTAGCCTGAGCTGCATTGATGAATGGCTTCGTTTCTTCGTGTTACTGTATTTAAAATGGCTTACTTTGTTTTTCTGTTTTTTTTTAATAGAGGCCATTAATTGTCTCCTCAGAGCTATTGAGATCTACACAGACATGGTAAGTGGCTCATATAATTCAGAAGCTCCCTTCTTAATTAAAAACGGAATATTTTATGCTTGGAAAAAAATACTCACTTTGCGAGCCCACATAGAGGATGGCTTTTCACGAGTTCCATGCTGGGTTTTTTTAACACATGGCTCCCAAGCAAGGAACCACAAATGGTATGTGTGTGGTGGTGTGTGTGTGTGTGTGTATGGCTGACACACCAACTGCATAGTACTGTCATAATGCTGACAAAGGATTGTGCATTGGAATTGCCCATAGATGAAATAAACACCCCCATTAGAGGTAGATGGCTCTTCATGCTACTTGCTGCAGAATTTGCAGGAAACTACAGGTAGTCCTTGAGTTATGACCACAGTCGGGATCAGAAATTCTGTGGCTAAGCAAGGTGGTCGTTAAATAAGCCGTGCCTAATTTTATGACCTTTACAGAATCTGGAGGTTCAGGATAATTTCCTGATTTCAATATAGCTGAGGAGGTTCCCCCATGGATTAGCACTGCCTCACGTGGGCCACAAACATCCAATTATTCCCCAAAAGTTGGTTTCTGATTCATTCTGTTTCCCTGGCTTTTCTTTTTCAGGGCCGTTTCACCATTGCAGCCAAGCACCATATAACCATAGCTGAGATCTACGAGACTGAGCTGGTGGACATTGAAAAGGTACGATTGAACAGGTGGGTCATGTAGACCCTGTCTCAACAAGCTTGCTTACAATGGTCGCGTCCGACTCTTCGTGACCCCAAGGACTTTTAGCATGCCAGGCCCCGCTGTCTTTCCCTCTCGCCCTGAGTTTACGATGATGTGCTGTTTATTTATCCATTCAATTTATAGGCTGCCCCTTTCACTGTAACAGCGACTCTGGCGGCTTTACCCTGAGATTGTGAGAACTTTGGAAAAGTTCGTTTTCAATTCTCCTCTTGTTAACACCCACATTTCAAAGGATCCCGGGGCAGTAGCCCTTTTGAATTCTACTGTATAGTGGAACAGTAGATGATGTGGTGTTGGGGTTTTTCGTTTCAATGTGCAGAGTGGGAAGGATGCGTGTGTTTATTTTCATGGCCATGATGAGCACTGAAGATAGTGTTTGATTTCGTTGTACGAGGTGCAATGACAATAAAGTGAAGTATAGTAAACTTAACTAAATTTAGTTGGCGGATGGGCAGGGAAGGGGGACTGGTGGGGCTCCAGGAATTAGGTTTAGTGCTTTTTTAAAACCAGTTTGCAAGTCAGAGTTACAGTTGGAACTAAAAGTTCATTTGAAAGTTTTGAGCAGCTTTTGACTGGAAAGACGAGAGGGTTGTGTCTCCCATTGCAAATGACCTAGTTACAATTAACCGCCAAAATGGAGAAAGGCTAGGGCCATTAAATAGAATGCAGCATTTCATCGGCCAAGGGTGGTTAGACACACAAGAATTTTGTCTCTGGTGCACGAGCTCTTGGTGTACATACAAACAACAAGGTGATATAATCATGAGGTACCAATAGGAGGTGGTAGTAGAAAAGATGAGAAGGATAATAGTAACACAGCCCTACTGCCTGGATAAATACTTTTAGGCATAAGACAGTACTGTGAGAATGAGGTGTTCAGCAGAGTGATGGCATGAGCGGAAAAACTGTGTGTGTGTGTGTGTAGTTGTTTTGGTATGCAAGGTCCTATTGTGTAAGGAATACTGGCTATGAACTCCTTGGAAGAGTTTGCTAAGGAAAAAGTTTGCTCAGTTTTCTTTCCATTTCCCTTTTTTTTCTTCCTTTCCAGGCAATTGCTCATTACGAACAAGCTGCAGATTACTATAAAGGTGAAGAATCAAACAGGTAATTCAGGCGTTCCTGTTTCCATTTCTGCTCTGGGCTGCTTTAGGATGGTTCCATTCCTGTTTGTCAGAAAATAGACTGGCTTAAAAGGATCGAAGCTGGATGGACAGCTTATGTGTTTTGGAAATGGCCAGAGGACTTTTGTGTTCCACGGATGGCAGGCTAGCATAATATTTTGAGTTGATCTTGTGATTCAGTTCCCTGAAGAAATATTTCCTCATAGCTGTGCTTTGGGGGATATGAAAGCAATGAGAATAAGGTTCTGGCTTGGCTGGTATTTCACGTTTTCACAAGCATGTGCTGTACTTCTCTGACTTAAAGTTCACACTGTGAATCCAGCCTTATTTTGACTGCTTATTAGACCATTATTATTATTATTTTTGCTTTCTCCATGGGAATGGCTGCTGCAGGTTTGAAATACAGTTTTCTATAAACTTAGACCAAAATGACTTGGTCTGTTTGGGGGCAGTGGTGGAGATATGGTGCAGTCGTTTGAAATCTGCCCCCGATGTATACATTTCCATCAAAGATTTTTCATAAGAGTGGTGGAGTGGTTAGAATGCAGCATTGCAAGCTAATTCTGCCCACTGCCAGCAGTTCGATCGTGACTGGCTCAAGATTGACTCAGCCTTCTATCCTTCCGAGCTCGGTAAAATGAGGACCCAGATTGTTGGGGGCAAGAGGCTGACTTTGTAAACCGCTTAGGGCTGTAAAAGTGCTGTGAAGCGGTCTATAAGTCTTAAGTGCTGTTCCTGTTCCTGTTGCTATAGGATAGGGGTCCCCAAACTTGGCAACTTTAAGACTTGTGGACTTCAACTCCCAGAATTCTCCAGCCAGCATAGCTTGAAGTTTGAAGACCTTTGCTATAGGAGTTGTGGACAAAATTATCACAGCTTGACTGGTGCCTCAGCCATATGTTATCTCTGGAATCAGAACAAGCAGCTTCATCACTCCCAGAAATTTCTACACCACTCCTCTCACCTAAGTGACAACAAATTAATGAAAACCATATAAACACACAAATAAAAAAAGCATAGCTTGGGAACAGAGTGAAACAAGTTAAAAGTTACGAGTCAAAACGAATCAGGTTACAAGTTCAAAAGCTAGGAGGCTAACAAGGCAGTGGGAGTGTCTTCAGGCCACCAGCCATCCAAGGTGGCATCATACTTTTCATAATTATTTACACCCAGGGTCCACCTCCTTATGTGTAATCTAGCCTGAATGGATTATTCTGAATTTAGTTACCATGGAGAAAGGATTATTGCTTAGTCAGCCGCTTCACGACCTAAGAAGTCAGAAATGCCTCTTAAGTCACCCTCCGCCCTCAGGCTAGTACTCAAGTTTGAAAAGATCTTGGCTCCTGCTTAGAGCAGAGATCCTGGTTGCTAGGAGCACTTTCTGGAAATCTTCATTATAGACCCGTTATCTCGATGCTTGCCTTGGGAGGTGCAGTTCTACTCTTAGTCTCTCTCGACCAGCAAGAGAAGCCTTGGTTAAAATGCAACTATCTCCCGTGCAAGCTCCTTTTTAAAGTCATGTTTGCATTTTGTCTTGGGGTCCAATAATGTTGCCCAGGTGGGCATGATGGAGGTCGTGTTGGCAGGTGGGGAAGAGGAGTTGCTGGTCTTCCCTTGTCCAATTGCCTCCAATCCTTTTTCTTTTCTTCCTGCAGCTCTGCCAACAAATGTTTGCTGAAAGTGGCCACCTATGCAGCTCAGCTGGAGCAGTACCAGAAAGCTATTGAAATCTATGAGCAGGTCTCGTTGCTTCTGTTCGTTTTTCCCCTCCTTCCACTGAACCCTCGTAAAGCTGCTGCACCTCTTTAACATACTGAACCAGAATAGAGGTGTGAAACCAAGAATCTTATCAGAGCTGAAATTTGCCAGTTTTAATGAAGGCAAGGCTCTCTGAATTTTGAGTTAAGAGAAACAGGGATGCCTCTTCTGTGGTTTCTACAAACATATTGTGATTAGTTCTGTTTTTGCCAAATGTCAGGGAATTCATAAGTTTCCTCATTTATAAGACTGCCCAGCTCAACACTGACTGAAAAATACATACATCAAAGGACAAACCCAAGAAACAAACACAAGAATAAGCATAACACACACACTTCATAACCCAGACAGTCAATGGCAAATGGACACACACCAGACTGGCCTCCGAGCTTGTGGGAGAACATCGCTTATTAGATGGGACAATGAAGCACATGTGCTATGTCGGATTCTACGACAGATGATGAGAGACTGAAAGAATCTCTGACGCCATAAAGCCATAATGTAATGTGAGGGATGGCTAAGTCCTCAACATGTCAGGGGAACTTTAATTGACCTTTCTTACTGGACCTTTCCCCAGCCTCCTCTTCCATCCATTTTGCCTCCGCAAGAGCTAGAAACTTAGGTTCTTTGCGTAAAACTTCCATTAGGTTCAGAGGAAGACATCGTACATGATTTTCTGGGGATGTTCCTGGTATCTTGTGGCATTGTGAGCCCTTCACAGAGCAATTCTAATAACACGTCCCCTTTCCAGAATCTTCCCCTTCAAATTTGGAGCAGAGGAATGGGGATGATTCAAAGACTTTAAGTGCATTTAAAAAAAACTGGAACAAAAAAACAATCATGTCTTTAAAATGCTGTATTTTGCTCAAAAAGACTTGTTTGCTAGTTCTATTCCTGTCTGTTTTCCGCTCTCAGTTTTAGAGAATGTGGTTTTGCTAATCAAATCAGCGCAACACATTTATCACATCATTGGTTTATTTATGCAAGGATAAAACATTTGCAAGAAAACTCTTTAATTGATCAGCAGCAGTCCAGTTTGCTCTAGCGGTTAGGTTAGAAAGCGGCAGGTGGTGAGTTCAAGTCCTACCCTAATCATGAAAGCCAGCTGGGTGAGTTCGGGTCAGTCCTTCTCTCTCAACCCAACCCACCTCACCTCACAGGGTTGTTGTTGTGGGGAAAATAGGAGGAGGGCAGTGTGTTGAATAGATTCAGCGCCTTGAATTATTTGTAAAAAATAATAAAAGTGGGATACAAATCAATAAAAACACCAGTGGCACATATTAATATAATTAGAATATCCCTGCCGTCTTCCCAGTTCTCTGCTCTGCATTTGCCATATTTGGACCCCTCAATATGTAAGATTGGCTGGGTTCTCTTAAGAAAACCAAACCAGGTGTCTTCGTATATCTCTCTTGTGGCAGGTACTGAATCCTACCTATGAGGATCTAAGCACCACATCATTTTCTTTCTTTTTTTTTAAAAAAAAAATCCTTCAGAACAAACCCCCCTTCCTGATTTCCTTTTCTACCATCTCCAGGTTGGAACCAGTGCCATGGATAGTCCCTTGCTGAAATACAGCGCGAAGGAATACTTCTTCAAAGCGGCCCTCTGTCATTTCTGCATTGACATGCTCAATGCCAAGGTTTGGACAATGTCCTTTTGTTTCTAGAACTGCTGTAAAACGTGACGGTATTCTTTACTGATGAGGTAGCTGACCACATCCAAGTATGAGTTGCAGCCACAGTTGAGATACAGCAAAGTTGAGATAAGATAGGATACAGTCTCTTGAAAGAGACTACAGTGAAGAAAAATAGACTAAAAGGGACTAGATAAAATGGAGTAAAGATAAAAGAACAAGATAAAACAGCATAAGGTAAAATGGAATGCAGAGATATATATAATTGTGGGAGAAGGAATGGCTTTGAACCTTATCTAGTGTAGCCCTCAGTTCAGCCAGTCTGAGAAGATTCCTATGTATAAACTTGAGCAATTAAGCAGCTAACTGAACTCACCACACTGTGCCTGACAGATGGCGGGGGAACAGAAGCAGAAAGTTTATTTTCCGAGTCAAGGCTTGAGACCTTGTAGTTAAAAGTAGCACGATTATTACCTGTGCGGTATTTTAATGCAGGAAGAGAGGCATTGCAGTCAAAAAGGCTTACCTGCTGTTTGACCTTTTGTAAAACCTGAAGTCCTTTAGCATTATTACACCTTTGGATTCACCCAGCTCCTAACTGGGATTCCGTTCTTTTCCTTCATTTTCAATCAGCTGGCTGTACAGAAGTACGAAGAAATGTTCCCGGCTTTCTCAGATTCCAGAGAATGCAAACTGGTTAAAGTGAGTAGTCCTTAGACTTAGACTAGCTTTATTGTCACTTTGAATGTACACTAACTGACGTATATTAAAATGAAGTTTTATTGCATACAGCTCTCAAAAGGGTTTCCACCTCTTAATATAGACTACATAAACATAACAAATAAATACAAAATTATGCATATTTTCTTAAGGTCAGTCTCACCGAATTTATGCACCTGGTGGGAGGCAGACCTTTTCAGTCTCAAAAGTACAGAAAGTAAAATTAGATTAGATTTGTCAGCAAGGAGGGAGGAGGAGCTGGGTGTTAAGCCGTACAATAATGGCATTGTTCTTAGGCGCTATGGGTTAGATTTCCAGAAAAGGCTGCAGATGTTTGGCTGGTTAAACTGACGCGATGCTTTTTCGGCCAACGATGGTTCAGTGGTTAAAGACACCTGAGCTTGTCAGCTGCAGAGCCAACAGCCCAGGTTTGAGACCTGAGCTCCACGCAAGGGGGCGAGTCCTGTTACTTGCTCGGGCTTCTGCCCACCTAGCATTTCGAAACAGTAGGTTAATAGGTACCACTTCGGTGGGAAGGTAACAGCATTCTGTGAACACTTGGCGTATAGCAGAGGTCTCTAAACTTGGCAACTTTAAGACTTGTGGACAAACTCCCAGCTGGCTGGAGAATTCTGGGAGTTTAAGTCCACAAGTCTTAAAAGTTGTTGGGGACCCCTGGCGTATAGTCATGCTGGCCGCATGACCATGGAAATTGCCTTTGGGCAATGCTGGTTCCCTCGGCATAGAAACGGAGATGAGCACCCTGCCCCAGAGTTGGATGTGACTGACAGGGAAATACCGATGGAAATTCTCCGTCATCCACATCATGGTTGTCTCAAAGGTGCTTTCCCCCCCACCCCCACCCCCAAGAGGCAACTGGACTTTCTGTTTTTTCTTTGAAGACATTTCACTTCTCATCGAAGGAGCTTCTTCAGCTCTGACCGGATGGAGGGGAATGGAAGGATTTGCAGCCAAAGAAGCTTCTTGGATGAAAAGCGAAAAACCAAGAAAGTCCAGTTGCCTCTTTTTTTTGGGGGGTGGGGGGTGGGGGAAGACCTCTGGGACTGACAGGGAAACCTTTACCTTCGATCGTTTATATCAGGCTGGTCTACCAAAGACCACACTACAATGTCCACAAGAGCAAGGACAGGCTCTTTGGCCAGCGTATGGCATCTGTACTCCAACCCATGAGTCTTCGAACTCCCTTGCGTCAACGGCCGAACCTTGCCCTCTGTCAATACTGCTTTGTTTGGAAACCGACCTCACAATGCTTCTCCTGTCTTCCTTCCTAGAAATTGCTGGATGCACACGAGGAACAGAATATTGACAGTTACACTGAATCAGTAAGTTTGGGTTCTCCTCCTCCTTTCCGTTACTGTCCAGTTCAATTTTTTTTTTCCACCCAGCTTGGCGCCTCCTGGACATGTGGGATTTCAATGATGCGATCATGGAAGATCAAATACAACATATCTAGGACAGGGGTCGCCAACCTTTTGGATCTCAGGGACCAACTAAACTCATAATTTTAAATCCCACGGACCAGAGACCCTGGGAAAATCCCCCAAAATGTCTGCAGGAAAACCCCCCACCCCGTTTTCCTACTGATCAATCATTTTTTATTCGGGATCGCAGGATACCGTCTCCAGCTCCATTCTCAAGGGGAGAGAGAGACTTTTGGCTTCATGCAAGGAAAGCAGCAGAAGCTGCAGAAGTCTCTCTTTCTCTCCCCCAAACTCCGCCAGAAAGGAGTCTTTGTGAGACTTGTCGTGCCGGCGCAGCCTCTTGGAGCAGGAGGCCTTGCAGGGTCCCAAAGACTCATTTCTGGCGGAGTTTGGGGGAGAGAAAGAAAGACTTCTGCTGCTTTCCTTGCGTGCAGCCAAAAGCAGAAGAAGAAAGAAGCAGCCCAGTGGCCAGGCCAGGTGTGTGGGACAAGTGGGGCAAGTTCTCCCCCTCCAGCCTTTCCCCCCCTCCCCTCACTACCTCGTGTTGTTTGCAATGCAAGCGACACCAGCCTTGTGTTTCTGCACAGCCTGGATGAATTGGATGAATCCCCTTGTACGGCCTTCTGACGAGCGAAATCAGTGGGGAAGCCAGCTTCCCTTAACGGTGGTGTCACCAATTTGAGAACTGCAGTGATTCACTTAAGAGCTGTGGCAAGAAAGGTTGCCAAATGGAGCAAAACTCGCTTAACTGTCTCAGCAACAGAAATGTTGGACTCGATTGTGGTTGTAAGTCAGGGACTACTACTTGTATTTAAATTCTCTGTGAAGGCCATGTGTGGCTTTTTAGAATATTCCTGGCTACAGTTCTGTTTTTTTTTCGCCCCTCCCTCAGGTGAAGGAATATGACTCAATCTCTCGCCTGGACCAATGGCTGACCACCATGCTTCTGCGCATCAAGAAAACCATACAGGGTGAAGAGGAAGATCTGCGTTAAAAAAACAACCAACCAACCTCTCTTGCCCTCCATCTTCAGGCCCGTTATTTGCAGAACTCTGCCTGGATCACCTCTGGAGGAGAAAAAAAAAAAAAGAGGGTCTTGGCACGAAGGAATTAAGACTCAAGTGGCAAATTCTTCATTTTCACTTCCTTTCTCATCCCGCCTTTTTGCGCTGCAGTGAACAGGGCTGGGATACGTCACCTGTGGACTACTCCGGAGAGACCTGAAGTCCTCCTAGCCTCGCTTCCTGAGTCAGCATTTACATCCTCCTCCCCCTCCACCCCCCCGTGGTTTCGTTGATGGTTTAATATTTAAAGCATCTTTTTTAAGTTTGGTTTTTGCTGATGGTGCCATTCTCTTTTCCTTCTCCCCAAAATCTTAATGGAAACTTATTCGGAGAATGGCTTCTTCTTCACCGCAGAAAGAACCGCTTTTGGTATTTGTGGCCTCATCCCCTCCCCCCCCCCCCCCCCCTTTGGCCACAGCAGTTCCAGGCATTGCAAGGCCAGATCCCTTGAGTTTTGGTCAACCCTTCTCCTTCCCAAATTAATATTTTAAAGGTGGGCAGAACGGCGCTGATCTCTAAAGGAAGGATCGGGGCTCGCTAAGCATCTCTCACCTGCCTTGTTTCAAATAAGGCAAGAAAACCCCAGGCACCCCCTCACAAATGCTGCCGTTGAGCTGTACGGAATAATCCCGCTTCATTCCATCTTTCTTTCTTGCACCCTGAATGATCTTGAATTGATGTGTATGAACTCAGTTTATCCCTTCAGAGCAGGAGTGCCCAACCTTGGCAACTTTTACGACTTGTGGAGTGTTAATTCCCAGAATTCCCCAGCCAGCCAGAAGTCCACGGGTCTTAAAAGTTGCCAAGATTGGACACCCCCCCGCCTTTAGAGATTGGTGCAGAAGTCCCTCCTTGGCAAGAGGCAAAATCAATCTTGAACTATGCAGCAGGTAGCCAAAAAGACCCTCCTAATTTAAAACTTAGAAGCGCTGTGTGCAAAGCTGTCTTGAGCGCTCGTCTCGCATGGTTTTCCTCTTCCCTCCTGGCTTAGTTTGAAAAGAGCATTTCTCCAGCCAAGCGTTCTGTATACATTGTCATAAAAGCTGCCGTATTTTTTTCCCTCCCCGTGTCTTTGCTTTTAAGAGAAAGTGCTTTATCATGTAATCTAGCATCTTCATGAAGGTTTCTCATATTTAATGTTTCCTTAACTCCGTTGTTGTTGGAAGGCGGACTTAAATTCTGTCGCATGTTCCAAAATGTCTACCAGAAAACAACTAATAGTGAAATAACTTGCACACAACAAACAATAAAAAGAAAGAAAAAGACACCCAACTTTGCATGTGGAAACATCGTTAGCGTCGAGTGTGATGATAGCTCCCCTTTAACTTTAAAATTTCTGTTGCTTCTGTAGAAGTCTTGCTTGTTTTCAAGCTCATCTCTCCTTCCCTGCACCCTTTCCTTCTGGATTCCAGTTCTGGTTCCCTTTCCTATCAGTTCTTCTAAGTTGTGATCCAGTTCCTGAACACTGGCTGTGATTCTACCTGTCTAAAAATACACCCGCATGCTTGAATTTGGCTGCTTCTGTGTGTGTGTGTGTGTATTTGTGTATCCGTGTACAAATTTTTGTGACCGCAGTAGATTTTGGATGAAAAATCCTGCTTACAGGAGTGAGAGCGGTAGCTCCTCTGAAGGTGCATAACAAATAAGCATGCCCCTATATTAAAAAAAATAATCAAGGTTACTTTAAATTACATAATTCTCTACGCAGGGCATTGAATTTTCACTTTCTTAATTGGAATCTTTCTTTTTTTTTTTCCCTCTGGCAAGGAAGTAGCTTTTGCTAAACCTGGGTGCTTTTTGAGCAGCGTATCTACCCAGCCATTAAAACTACCTGGAAAACGGTGACAATTGTCAGAAATGAAAAGACACGCAGTCCAGAGGAAAGCAGCTTTTGAACATGGCTGACTTTGAGGTTTCCACAAGGACTCCACCAAGAAGTAGTTGGTGTTCGTTGAAGAGGGACATTTTTCTGTAGCAATTACATTTACATCACATTAATATTCTCCAGAGAAGGGCAGCACCTGCCAGTCTCGGGGAGTGGGAGGGGGCATAGTAAAGCAAGGAGGTTAATATTCTTTGCCAAAACACAGGCCCATAACTATAATTATTACATATTATATGTTAAGAAAGTCAATATTGCAAATCCTCAAAGATGCTATCTAAATCAGGGGTCTCCAACCTTGGTGACTTTAAGCCTGGTGGACTACAACTCCCAGAATTCCCCAGCCAGCTTTGCTGGCTGGGGAA